CATGCGTCACTCAGGGAGAAGCAACTAGGGCACTTCAGGTAACAGACAGTTATTCCAGAGAAGCAGAACTTAATTAAATTCTTATATTTTGTTTTATATTTCTTATAAAGAGTGGGTTCAGAAGAATGTGTCTACTTCAGGGTTCCTACCCTCTACGTTTTTTTTTCCTGTGGATTCATTCAGTCTTTGTGTTTGATTTTCTGAAACCACATAGGATTCTTTTTTTCATTGCTGTTGTTACATATCAAAATAAGAATTTTGGGCTCCATTTTTTATGCATGTTTTCTGCTCTAATTATTATGATGATTTTTTAAAGAATTATTTTGTATTTAACTTCATTATTATTATTATTATCATCATCATCATTTGATAAGAGAGAGAGAAAAAGTGAGAAAGCAAGCTGCCAGGTCTGGGACTCAAACCGTAGCTGGCTATGTGGGAGACCAGCGTCCTTAATCACCATGCCACCTGCCAGTCCCTATTAAGATAATTTTTAAAAATTGCCAGAGGGTGCATTACTCACAGAGAGAGACAGGGACACACAGAGAGAGTACTAGAGTACTGCTCAATGGGTATGGTGACACCACAGTCCCTTCTCCATTTCTCCAGCCGTTTGGGATTTGGAGCACATACACACACGAATCCAACGTGGTTTTCAAGGCCCCGGGGCCGGGATTCAGGCGGCAGTTGGCTATATGGGATCTGATTCCCTTAACCATGAGGCTGTGTGGCCCACCCTGTCTTAGTTACTTTTTAAGACAGCATGGTGCCATATCAGGATCTTATGGTCTAATGTCTAAGGCTTAGACTTTGTGTGTTAGGGTATTATCTTTTAATTAGAAATGTCAGTGCTTTCAAGCAGGACAGTGGGTAATCGAAGGGGTTTTATACGTTGTCCGGTGGCATGAAGTGATTGTCATTTTCTGCGAATAAAAAGTATACTGCTGTTTCTAGGCCCAGCAATACCTTCCGGTTATTTGCCGAAAGAGTATGCGATGGCCTTGGGGTTCGGGTTCTTCATCTTTACTGTTCCCTTGGTGGATTCCAGACATAACATGCACCAGAGAAGAGGAAACATTCCGCCCAAGAACATTCCATGGTCTGATCTTGATTTTAAAATAGTTCTAGTGTAATCGAAAATGGATTCATGAAAAATCATGTAATACCTTTAGTATGGGGCCAGTTCCGAGACTCAGAGTCAGGCTGGAACTCAAAGAACTGGGCTGCTTTGGTGAGCCAGGGGAGGCCCGGCTGAGAGGAGCTCTGGCAGGTGGAGAGATGGAGGCACAGGCCAGACGTGTGGGCAGGACAGACAGGGAGGGGCTGCAGCCATGACTGGCCGGGGAGTGTCCCCGTAGGCCCTGCCTGCGGCAGCAGAGCAAGTGCACTCTTTGGGGGCCTCGTCCTCCACTGCAGGAACATGGCCAGAGTCCAAGGGAAACACCTGCAGCTCCTTTGCCGTGATCAGCTCTGTTTCTAGCTGGGGCCTGAGGACATCAAGTGGCACAGGAAGCTGGCCAGGCTGCCCCAGAGGGTGGGAGGGAGGAGATGACTTAGCTCGGTAAAACATACCTCAGTTTTGCTTTTAAAATGGGATGTATTGGGGCCATCAGATGGCACGGTGGTTAAGATGCTGGACATGGCTAATTGTGGTTCGAGTCCCAGACCAGGTGACTTGAAAATCACTCCACAATCCTGAGAGGAGAATGGAGGAGAAGGGATTGTGGCATGGCTATCCTCCTGGGGGGTGATTTCTCACTTTCCTTCGCGAGCGCACACGCCCTATAGCAAAATACCTCTCCAATAAAAAAAAAAAAAAAAAAAAGGAATGTGAACTCATTACCCAGTGGCTGGGTGAGAAAGAGTGAATAGATATAACTGCTGCAGCTCATTTGCATCTACAGAAGTGACTCCAGCCCTAAAGAGAAGCTGGTTAGACGGGCTGAGAAAAACCATACCTGGGGCACTTCCGGCAGCACTGAACACAGTGACCCACGGCCTACAGAGCACCAGGCCTAAGTTCACTGTGACTGCTGTGACACAGCCTCACCCACGATGCTCCTTCCATGAGAACCCACTGCAGTGGGAGGAAACGGAGAGAGCAGGAAAGACCACTATCCGAAATGGATGGAAGAGCAGGTGCAGAGCCTGACTGACGAAACAACTGCTGCCTTTCTACGAGGGAGGGTACCTCCTGCTCCATTCCCTGCTCCTCCTCCTGCAGGGCGATGACCCCACCTCCCCCAGTCTCCCGGGTCCTCCTCGCCCTGGCATGATGCGGGCACCCATATGGGGACCTTCCCCTGATGCCAGTGATGGGCCCTCCTCCTGGGATGAGGCCAGTAGGCCCTGCTCCTGGAGTGAGGCCACATGCCCATGAGGCCTGGGCCCCCCGTGATGAGACCTCCTGCCCGGCCCATGATGGTGCCCACTCGGCCAGGGGTGACTCAACCAGACAGATAAGGACTAAGGGAGGCTTCTTTACGTCAGTTTTATATGAACTTGTTCTACTTCATCAGGAGATCATGGCGCTGGGACTCTGGGTGTTTTTCTAACAGCACGTCAAGGAAGACTTTCTCCCCCTTCCTATTAAAAATAAGAGTAGTTTTGGAGGAGAGAAGTACGACAAAAAAGTGCAATTTTCATTTATATTGTGAAATGTAAAAATAAAATTGTCAACTGTTTTAGTTAAGATAGAAACAAAACAAAACAAAAACACAAAAAGCCATTCCTGGCCACCGCTGCGTCCTGGGAGGCTGGGAGCTTTGAGCTTCGTCGTGCAGGAATAGCAGCTCTTTACTACAAGCCTGTCTGTCCCCGTCAGTACTCACACCATGGTCTGTTTGCACTGGCCCCCCCTGGACACACAGTCCCTCTCCCCTAGCATGGGCGGCTTCTGAAAAAGCAGCTAAGACAGAGAGGAAGGAGGGGCCTGGGGCAGAAGCCTGGGCCGCCCACGTGCCTGCATGGCCCCTGGAGGCGCTGCCCGGGGGGGACTGCAGGGAGCCAGGAGGGAGGAGCAGGGGTCCACCTGGCAGTTCCATCTCTTCACCCTGGTGGTACCTGCTGAGCTCGGCCCGAGCCAGGTACTGCTCAGGCCGGGGAGGACACGGGCCATGTCCCTGCCCTCATGGCTGACTTCCTAGGAGAAAGAGAAGATACAGAAGCGAATGACTACAAGTAAATGCATGTGAGACAGAGGGGAGGGGTTAACTGGTTTAACTCAGGAGACAGCTGAGCCGAGACCTGGATGAGGTGGGAGCCATGGCCGTATCTGGGAAGAGCAGAGACCCAGACAGGGGGAGCAGCAAGTGCCAAGGCCCTGAGGCTGGTGTGAGAGAGCCCAGTCAGCCGGGCACAGTGGGTGCATCGGGAGGGGAGGTTGGGCCACATCGCTCTGAGTGTTTCTCCTGTTTATAATGAGCATTTGCTCTAAAGAGGTTGAATTTGATTAAACTTGGGTTTTGTTAATACTGTAAATATTTGGTCTCAGTACGATGAGATTATGTGGAGCCATAGTAGGACACAGGCTGATTCACAGATTTATTTATTTATTTAAAAGAGAGATTTTTTGCGATAGGGTGCATGTGCTCACCAGAAAGACAGAGAGAGACAGAAAGCGAGAAAGCCTCCTCCCAGGGGGGATGGCCAAACCATAATCCCTTCTCCATTCTTCTCTCGGGATCTTGGGCACACACGCACACACGCCAGGCATGGGTTTAAGCCACTGGGTCTGGGACTTGAACTGTGGTTGACTACATGGGAGTCCAGCAACGTAGCCATTATACCAACTGCTGGTCCCCAATTCATAGGTTTTAGAATATCACTTCGGCTGCTGGTGGAAGATGAGACCGTCCTGGGACCATAAACCGCAGCAGAGGGACAGCCCTGCAGCTCACACAGGTGCTGGCCAGTGCGGTCAGGGTCTGAACTCGCAGGGAGGGGCATGGCAAGGAGTGGTCTGATTCATCGATTGTACAGGTTGGGCGGCCAGAGTGGCCTCCCTTGCACTCTCCTTCCTTGAGACTGGGTAGTGGAGGCCCCCTTCCCTTGGAAAACGGAGGTGGGGGATGGCCCCCCCCCAGCGGCTCTCCTCTCATCCTGCCCTGGGGCACAGCACGACAGGAGCGGGGCATGGAGGCCAGGCCTGCTGCCTCGGCCCTGGGCTCCCCCTTACAGTTGATGAGGAGCCTGCGTGTTTCAGTCTCACCGCAGCCCCACGCACTAGGCAAGGCGGGGACTAGCACCTCTGGTTACAGGTGAGGAGACCACAGCCCACGAGGCATCATAGGGTGGGGAGAACACTTCGAGGCCTCAGGAGTGAGGAGCACTGACTTCTGTTGTGAAAGGAGGGTGTGTCCCTGTCCACAGGGGACCTCGAGGAGGTTTCATCGGTCAGGCTGTGACTGAAGTTTCCTTCTTCTGCATTTTCCCTTGACATCGCTGTACATGTGGTTTAAAAAGAAACAAAGGATTCTCGGGACCAGCAGTTGGTGTAATAGCTATGTCGCTGGACTCCCATGTGGTCGACTGCAGTTCACGTCCCAGACCCGGTGGCTTGAAACTCACGCCAGGCGCATGTGTGTGTGTGCCCAAGATCCCGAGAGGAGAATGGATGAGAAGGGATTGCGGCGTGGCCATCCCCCCTGGGGGGTGATTTCTCGCTTTCTGTCTGTCTCTCTCTGTCTGTCTGGCAAGCGCACATACTCTATAGCAAAAACCTCTAAAAGAAAAAAAAAAAAGAAAGTATTCTCATTCCATGGGTTTAGGCCCAAAAGTAATTGAATTACTGAAACCATTTGGAAAATGAGCCTCTGACTGCACTGACTCGCCGCCAGCTCTGATGCAGGCACCTCACAGTGTTGGCAGAGGTCTGAGGCCCCATGAAGAGAGGGCCTCGTCCGTGGGGATAACGTCTGACCCAGCTTTGAATCAGGCCTGCAGGGACTTTTTTTCTAAGTTCAGACATGTCCTAATGAATTTCTAAACATTCTTTACAGCTTAGACCATTCTCAGCCTGCAAGCGGCCTCGTCATCGACAAAGAATCTGAAGTTTACAAGATGCTTCAGGAGAAACAGGAGTTAAATGAGCCCCCCAAACAGTCCACGTCCTTCCTGGTTTTGCAGGAAATCTTGGAGTCTGAGGAGAAAGGTAATCAGCCCTCCATGTCAGCCCTCCATGTGGGGAGAGGCTGTGTTTGAAGGTTGTCATGGCTGATGGGCAGGCCAGCACAACCACCGCAGGCGGGAAGGGCAGTGCACCTTGGAAGGCCAGGGCTTTGAAAATGCTAAAAGCTCGGGGCCAGCCATGGGGCTGAGATGCCGGGCCCACATGCCAAGGTCCTAGGTCCACGTCATGGAACCTCCCTGTGCTCAGAGGGCATGTGTGCTGAGGCTGGGAGTGGATCAGTGTGAAGACCCCACCAGCAGTGCCTGTCTCATGGAAAAGCTAAATAAACTTACAAAGACAATCAGGCCAGCAGGTGATATGGTGGTTAAGGCGGCTGGATCCCACATGGCCATTTGCACAGTTCAAGTCCTGGACTGGTGGCTTTAAAAGCATTGGGCGTGTGTGTGTGTGCATGTACCCAAAATCTTGAGAGGAAAATGGAGAAGGGATTGCAGCATGGCCATCCCCTAGAAGAGCAATAGTCTCTCTGTCTCTCTCTCTCTCTCTGGTGAGTAGACGCATCCTTTAGCAAATTTAAATAAATACGTACATATAAACAACTGCTAAAAACCCCTTTAGAAAAAGACAGGGAGAGAGCGCCCACCTGACCACACCTTCATTTGGGAAGGGCCATGCCTAGCTGTTCCTGCCACATGTGCATTAGGGTGCTGCAGTCGAGGGAGCCCGACTGCTGTGGGGTTCCGTCCGTCTGGCTGGCTGGAGCCCACATCCCATGCTCCTGTGGTGGCTGGCGAGCAGCAGTGGGTGAAGCCGTGGGCTTTGATAAGCAGAGTGATCACGAATCAGCAGCCCAGTGAATCAGGAGCTGGGCTTTCCCTCTGGGGCCTTGTTCTTGTTCTCAGATGGGTGTCCTCTGAGAGCCCTCAGAGTGGCCGCATCCTCACTGTCTGACCTTAGGCAAGCCTCCAAACCATCCAAGGCTTGTATTCTTGTCCTGTCCACAGGAGATGAAAAATCTTTTCCTCTAAATTGCTATGAAAACTCATTCATTGTGCAAACGCCGTCACCATGACTGGCATGTAGTATGTGGTTCATAATTACGAGGTTCGAAACCTCACTGAGAGGCTCCCAGGTCCTTTAGCTTGTCCACTGAGTAGCTCTGATGGCCAAGACACCCAGGGCCAGCGATGGGTGGTTGTGCAGGCCTCCGGAGACCGTTTCACTGCAGCAGTGTATGCTGTCTGTATTATGTGAGGTTCGGCAGACAGTGGTAACGGTACCTCCACCGAGTAACAGCAGTGTGTTATGAGAAGTCGGCGGCAGGACAGTGTGCTGAAGGGCTGCTCGCCCCTCCTCACTGAGGCACCCTGTGGACCCTACTCTCGGGCTCCCCTGCCTCCCCGCTGCTAAGGTAACAATGTCCAGCGACATTAAGCATGTTAACATCACTTTGCCAGTGAGCTCATGGTCAGCCTCTTCTGGAGCACTGGCCTCTGTTCCCCTTCTGGTTCCTGGGGTGCCCAGCTCTCTGCTCTGTTTTTGTCCCTTTCTTTGAGATTCAGTCACCTCCCTGGGTTCCTGCCACCTTTTGCTGTCTTCTCCTCCTCAGTGTGCCTTCCTGTGAAAGACAGTCTGGCTCCTGGGGGCGGACACCTGGTGATTGTCACTGTGAGACCTGCTTCGGCCAAGTGCAAAGGCTGCCTTTGACTTGCTCAGGGCAGTCAGGAAGGGTCAGTGATGAGTGCCCCCAGGGGTAGCAGCCTCCTTCCCGGGTGCCCCAGCTGAAGATGCGACTTCCTGAGTCCTCCCCAAGCTGAAAGTTTCCTACTGGACACACCCATTAACTGCAGTTCCTCCCCATTTAGTGGGTTCTTCAGAAAGGGGCAATTTGCACCCACAGAAAATTTTTTTAAAAAGCTGCTTCTATTGGGACCAACAGTTAGCGTAATGGCTACATCGCTGGACTCCCATGTAGTCGACCACAGTTCACGTCCCAGACCCAGTGGCTTAAAACTCACACCGGGCACGTGTGCGTGAGTGCCCAAGATCCTGAGAGGAGAATGGAGGAGAAGGGATTGCGGCATGGCCATCTCCCCTGGGGGTGATTTCTTACTTTCTGTCTCTCTGTCTCTGTCTGGTGATTGCACGCGCCCTATAGCAAAAACCTCTAAAAAAAAAAAGATAAAAAAAAAGCTGCTTCTATGCTAAAACATACTGTTCTATGAGCAGTTTTTTCTGGGAATACCTGTGCAGTTGGGAAGTAACGAACCATATTTGCATCAAGTTGTAGTAGTGAGTCTGCTCAAGGTAGGCTGGATCCCATATGGCAGCCATGGTTCGAATCCATGGCCTGGTCAGCCCAAAACATGCTGGGTACCTATGTGAGAGTCAAAGAGGTGACAGACTGGGAGCCTGGAGGAAGGGGCTCGCAGTGTAGCCAGACTCCGTGGAGGGTCCTTTCTCACTCTTCTTTTCTCACATGTGTACAGATCTACTTTACTCTAGATACATACACACACACACACACACACACATATATAAAGATATATATATATATATCTTTATTTCTCCATACTATGTAATTGAGAAACCATAACTTCTGAGTGTGAAACCCTTTAATTAAGAGAAGCAGAGCCAGTCCATCCCAGCTCAATCCAGGACATAGGCAGATGCCACAGAGCTCGTCTGGGCTGACCGACAAGGACCTGAGCATGCAGTTGGCTCTCCAGGTCATCAAGATCTGGATTCCTCCCATCCTGAGCTCCGTCGGGCCACCCCACAGCTCCATTCTCAAAGTCGCCTCATGCTCCTAGCTGGCAGCTGGTGCTCATCAGGGAGGAAGAAGGGGACGGAGCTAATTGGAGAGCCCCTTTCAGATGAGCCAGCTTCCGTCTCAAGCCCCACACTTGTGCTCCATTTTCATTTTAGTCACCAGAATTTAGCCTCATGGCTGCATCCAATTGCGTGATTGGGAATTACTGTTTCGTCTCTTAGGCTGAATGCTCTCTTGCCCCCAAAGAAAAATCAATATTTTGCTGAAAAGGAAAAGGAAGGTAAAGGGTCTTGTAGTCTTTCCCATATCTCTTAATGTGCACTTGCATTAATTTTCAGTACATGCAGTGGGATTAGTTTCATTCTGCTACAAGCAGAAGGCATTCCGGGGAGAGAACTCCTGTTTTTCTTTCTTTCTTTTTTTTTTTTTTAAAGAATTATTTATTTATTTATTTATTTATTTAAATTTGACCAGAAAGGAACAGAGTGAGAGAGAGACAGAGAGGGAAAGTGAGAAAGCAAACCGCCAGGTCCAGGACTCGAACCGTGGTCGGCCATATGGGAGTCCAGCTCCTTTAGCTACCATGACACCTGCCAGCCCCAGAGAACACCTGTTTCTATTTGACAGGAAATGACCAAAGCTCCGGGCAGTGTCTGGCATGTGGTGAAAGCAGAGGGTGCAGGTGCCTGCCGTTCCTAGAGGCCTCCGGTTCAGAAAGAGCTCTGCAGGGTAGAAAGCATGTGGGCATCCAGGCCCTGCCGTTGACCTGCCGTGAGACCTTGTTGAGTCGCCCATCTCCCCATGCCCAGTTCCTGTACTTGCCCGGCGAGGCTAATAACGGGACCTCATGTGATTGTTTGTAAAGGGCAGGTACGCAGTCAGAGAGCCCCGCAGGAGGCTGGCTGCAGCAGGTTTGGGATGCACCTCAGGACACTCAACACAGGCTTTTGTGGATGAAATTCAGCCTCTGGACTAGGAGAAAGCATTCTGGGTTCTTCAAACTTCCCCTTGCTTGGGATCAAATTCCAAATTTTGTAGGCAAAAGGAGACTTCATTTACTTATGTATGTATAGTTGTGAAATACATATAATATGAACTTGACCATCTTAGCCATTTTAAGTTGAACAATGTTCAGTGACATTAAGCATGTTTGTGTCACTTTGCTACCATCACTGCCATCTATCCGTGGGACAAAAACTAAATGTTTTTGCTATAGAGCGTGTATGCTTACCAGAGAGAGAAAGAGATAGAAAATGGGAAACCACCTCTCCCTCCAAAGGGGGCTGACCCTGCTCCATTCTCGTCTTGAGATTTGTGGCATGCATGCACACATGCCTGGCATATTTTCCAAGCTATCAGGTCCAGGACTCAAACTGCACACTCAGCCATATAGCATCCAGCCACCTTAACCACCATGCCACTTGGCTAGTTCCACAGAACTCTTCATTTTGCAAAACTGAAACTGTGCCTATTGAACCATAATCCCCCATCTCCTGCTCCCCAGCCCCTAGCAGGCTTTGTTCTACTTTCTGTCTGTTTGACTGCTCCGAATACATTGTAGAGGTGGAATCACAGTCTTTGTGCTTTCGTGGGCACAGTGTCCTCAAGGCTCGTCCATGTCCTTGTACCACATTTTCATTTATCCGCCATCATTCTGTTTATCCATCATAGAAGGAGGCTTTTCATGGGTGGAGCTGTGGGAGGAGACATTGTGGGCCAAGAAAGCAGGAATCCTGAACTCTGAGAGGAGAAAGCTGGAGACTTCTCGGCAAGAACTGAGGCTCATTTGGGCTGAGCCCAGAGTTCCAGGAGGATCTGTGGATGGTCCAGTCATGTCACAGAGGACCACCAGGTGCTGGCTGAAAGATCATCAGATCAATTCTACAGGCAGCGTGGAGCCGCGGATGGTTGTTGAGCCGTGAAGTAGAGAAAAGCAGCTGCTCTTTGCTTAGCTCGTTTCTGCTGCTTTCCCAGAAAGAACAGGATGCAGGGTTCACTAGAAGAGAAATTCTGAAATTGTTGTAGTCTTTCGGAGACAGCTGTAAGGGAAGGAAGGAGGAGGACAAATGTCTTGGTATTTGCAGCTGGCTGGGTAGGTGAGAGGAAGTCTAGAGCCAGCAGTGCTGCTGCAGGGCTGACTGGGCCACACTGAGGCCACTCACGCACGCAGCCCCCTCTGCTCACCTGGGCCTGGCTTTATCCGGTTCCTGTCTCTCCGTTCCAGAAGGAGATGTGGATTCTCCTGTCCTCTTGCACCTTCTCCCCTTTCCTGTTCATTTTTCTACTGATTGAGTGAGTTCTGTGAGAAACAAACAAAAAACACCCCAGCCCGTCGCATTAGAACCCCAACTGCGTGAGCTGGTTCCTCGGTGTGGCCGCGGTGCTTTTTCAGGCCATCCGATTCTGCAGAGGTGCTGCCACTTCCTTCTCGTCATGGGCAGGCAGTCCCAACAGCAGCCAGAAAATGAGAGAACCTGTTCGAAATGTCTGAGGCACCACGCTTAGAAAAGCGGCACCCAGGCCCTTCTGGGAAGGGCCAGAAGTAGGGTGAGGTGAGTGAGTGAGTGAGGTATGCCCTTGGGAGCAAAATTTAAGGAAGCATCAAAAAAAATCAATGATCAAGACTTAAATAATATTTTTAGCACTATATATATATACGTATGTATATGTGTGTGTATATATATATACACATATATGTGTGTGTGTATATATATGTGTGTGTGTGTATATATATACACACACACACATATATATACGTAGATAGATAGATAGATAGATAGATAGATAGATAGATAGATAGATAGATAGATAGATAGATAGATAGATAGATAGATAGATAGATAGATAGATAGATAGATAGATAGATAGATAGATAGATAGATAGATAGATAGATAGATAGATAGATAGATAGATAGATAGATAGATAGATAGATAGATAGATGAATGAATGACTATATTCAACCAGTGGTTCCTGCTCCGGGAAACCTGGAAATGCAGCTTCTTGGGTGTGCTGACTGGGAAACTCTGGGGGTGGGACCCAGAATGCTGTGTTTAACAAGCCCTCCAGGGGATTCTGGTACACAGTGCAGTTTGAGAACAGCTGCTTTAGTCTGAGAAGTGAGTTGAGCCGGGGTGTAGATAGAATCTCCCACACCGGCAGCCAGGACCCTGCACCTGGAGGAGTTCGCTCAGCTGGTCTGGGGCAGAGCCTGACCTGGATAGTTTGACAGAATCTCCTCTGGGACTTGGGATGCTCATGGCTGCTTGTTCAAAACCACCACGAGGAACCTTCACTGGCTTTTTGGGCCAAAGCATGTGGGACTGAGGTAAAGACATCATGCATCTGTCATGTAATTTCATCATTCATGTCTGCATCTTTATCGAGCCTCTTGTATTTGCTAAGCCCCACGCTAGGCTCTGTGGGATATTGAGCAGCATGTAAGACAAGGTTCTGGGACCAGCAGTTAGCATAATGGCTATGTCGCTGGACTCCCATTTAGTCGACTGTGGTTTGAGTCTTGGACCCGGAGGCTTAAAACTTACACCAGGCGCGTGTGTGTGCATGCCCAAGATCCCAAGAGGAGAATGGAGGAGAAGGGATTGCAGCATGACCATCCCCCCTGGGGGGTGATTTCTCACTCTCTCTCTCTGTCTCTTTCTGTCTTTCTGGTGAGCGCACACACCCTATAGCAAAAACCTCTCCAAAAAAAATAAATAAATAAAAAAGATGAGGTTCAGATGCCCTCGTAACTTGCAGTTCCGGGAGGGAGACTTGTGGATAAACATAACATAAGGCCGGGCCACATCACAATGAAAGAAAAAGTAGGGAGATCGGGCCCAGCAGATGGTGCAGTGGTTACATCACGGGACTCCCACGTGGCCTACCACATTCAGGCTTGAAAATCACACTGGGCACATACGTGTGCCCAAGATCCCTGAAGGAAAATGAGATTGTGGCATGGCCGCCCTCACCCCCAGTGGGTGATTTTTCTCTTTCTCTCTCACTGTCTCTCTCTCTCTCTGGCGAGTGCATGTGCCCTATGGCAAAAAAAAAAAAAAAAACTAGAAAAAAAAGAGGGCAATGTGGAAGCACAGCCAGACAAAGACATAAGTAATAGTAAATAGTAAAACCGATTGCTTCTCGACATTAGTAGTTACCACGATAGAAGGCTCTGGTATCTAAGACCCCGAGCAGGGATGTAGGCAGCTCAGCACCCACCCAGCAGGCTATTCTAGGTCCCTGCAAGTGCACCCAGCTTACAGCAGAGGGCGACTCCCGCTGCCCTGGAGCAGGCCATTTTCATGGAGCTGCTGTCGCATGCTGGACTATACAGTTTGTTCCCTGCAGCGCAGGCTCATCGAAATACCCTGTCTTTGGATTATCAGGTAATGTGGGTATTTAGGTATTTATTAAATCCATGTAAGATGTACCTAAGTTCCCATCTCAGTGCTTGCATGTAAGATGTAACTGGATATAACGTAATTTGTGTTGCGGGGCTGACTCTGTACCAGGTACTGTAGGAAGGTTTTGTGAATATATTTATCTTTTTGTAGATGAAGTAAAAGGGATAATCTTTTGTTTTTTAGAAAAGCAGACTGGGGACCAAAGTGATTAAGAAAGATTGTGATTACACGGCAGACTCAGATCTTTTTGACTCTGATGCCCATGGCCTCATATGAACATGTGTGTGTGTGTGTGTGTGTGTGTGCAAACACAAAAGTGGCTCTGAGAGAGCTAAATGATTCTTATGTAATCCCACCCAACGCAAGTGTTTTCCTCATTTCAGGGGATCCCAACAAACCATCAGGATTCAGAAGCGTTAAAGCTCCCGTCACCAAAGTGGCCGCATCGATTGGAAACACTCAGAAGTTGCCCATGTGTGACAAATGTGGCACCGGCATTGTGTGAGTACCTACTTCCCATGGTCCTGGGTGGCCCCACCAGTGGGTAAACCGTGGGATGTGGGAAGTGCTGCGTGTTCTACATTCTGGGTGTGAAGGGGACATTCTGCCTGGAAAACGAGGAGAGGCCAGGTAGGGGCGAAGGCTCCTGCACTGAGGACCCCTTAGGCTGTGAACATGGGAAGCCGGAAAAAGCAGGGCTGCTTGGCTGACGTGGGAGGGGCTTCCAGAATAATGTCTCTGGATCCCGGGACGAGAGGCTGGTGGGAAGGCCCCGGTCTGCCCTGTGGTGGGCCTCTGGGGAGGGTGGGGTAGAGGTCGGGTGCCACCTGCAGGTGCTTGCCACTGACGGAGCCCTTGTTCTCTACAGCGGCGTGTTTGTGAAACTGCGGGACCGTCACCGCCACCCTGAGTGCTACGTGTGCACTGACTGTGGCACCAACCTGAAACAGAAGGGCCATTTCTTTGTGGAGGACCTGATCTACTGTGAAAAGCATGCCCGGGAGCGGGTCACACCACCTGAGGGCTACGACGTGGTCACCGTGTTCCCCAAGTGACCCAGCAGATCGGCTCCCCCCAGCCAGCCTCTGCTGCAGCTCGTTCTCCCAGTGTGCTGGCCCCGCCCTCCCTTGAAAGATCTGTGCTTGCCTTGGGTTTACCCCTGCCTGTTAAATACTGAGACCCCCGCCACTGACTGGCACTGGCTGTGCGGCGCCTGCCAGAATGGAAATTCTTCGGTGCAGCGCCCCCTGCCGGGGTCACCATGTATCTCCCTCACCTTAGTTCTCTGCCGCAAGTGGACTTCAGCCAAATTTGAACCAAATGAATTTGAGGTGTCTGACAATGATTTGTTTTTACTCAATAGATTTATAGACTTCAAAGCAGTGTGGTGTCTCTTGTCATTTGACCACGCGTCCTCTTTCCTACCTCAAGCCTGATGAGTCCTCTCCCCGTGGTTTCAGTGTCCCACCTCACCTCTCTTGAGATTTGCAAGCCTTCCCCCCAACACACACCAGGTGTGAGAAAACGAGCATCTGAACAGCTGTGTTCTTGCAGTTCTTTGAAGCCTGCTCCAAATGATCTTTCTCTGATGGATACTAATATAAGATACGTAATTCTGTCTTAAGGAAATTAATGTTGTTATTTTTCTTTTTAACACCTGGCTGTTCTGAGGCTTACCTGAGGAAATGAACTCTTCCTAAAGAGTAGATGTGGAGCTTTATCATTTGGCCTTCGGTCGTCCCCAGTGACTCCCTCTCCAGGCTGGTTGCAGCCATCACAGCCGCACTCCTTTGCGAGGGGCAGCCAGCTCAGGGCCATGCCAGCAGCAGCAGAGGGCTCGGGCAGTGACCAGCGTGTGCTGTGGAGGGGAAGGTGGAAGACGGAGAACTTGACTGTTACGGCGTCTTGAGCCAACCGCAGAGGTCGCCACAATCCCTAAGGGAGTCATTTGCTCAAACTTTGGTACCCCCATCCTTCCAGGTTCGCAGGTGGTGATTATTCTGTTTGGTTTTTAGAGAGGTTTTTGCTATAGGGTGTGTGTGCTCACCAGAGGCAGAGAAAGGCAGAGAGATAGAAAGCAAGAAATCCTACCCCCCCACGGGAGACGGCCACGCCACAGTCCCTTCTCCATTCTCCTCTCAGGATTGTGGGCACACATGCACACACACACACACACACACACACACACACACGGCATGAGTTTTAAACCACTGGGCCTGGAACTATGTAGTCGGCTACAGAGGAGAGAGTTCAGTGACATAACTTACACCATCTGCTGGTCCCTGCTTTTTTTTTTTTTAAGAAATTTTTTGCTACAGAGCATGTGTACTCCCTGGAGAGACAAAGTGAGAAATCACCCCCTGGGGGGATGGCCACACCACAATCCCTTCTCCTCTTAGGATTTGGGACATGCACCCACACGTACCCACCATGAATTTTAAACCACCGGGTCTGGAACTTGAACTGTGACTGGTCGTATGCGAGTCCAGCAATGTAACTTTTATGCCATATGCTGGTCCCCAGGCTGTGATTGTCAAGAGAAGGGGCCAGCAGGTGACATGGTGGTTAAGACACTGAACTCCCACATGGCTGACCATAGTTTGAGCCCCAGACCTGGTGGCTTGAAAATCACACCGGACGCATGTTTATGTATGCCCAAAATCCTGAGAGGAAAATAGAGAAGGGATTGCAGTGTGGCCATGCCTCCTGTGGGTTGATTTCTCACTTTTCCTCTCTCTGTCTCTTTCTCTCTCTCCAGTGAGCACACAAACCCTATAGTGAAAACCTAAAAAGAAAAAAGGAAGAGGCAGGGACACCTATACACCCTCCTTCCTTCAAAACAGCAAGTCTCTATTTTTTTTTTTTTTTTTAGAGATTTTTGCTATAGGGTGCAAGTGCTCACCAGAGCCACAGAAAGAGACAAAGAGACAGAAATCAAGAAATCACCCCCTGGGGGGTAGCCACACCACAATCCCTTCTCCATTCTCAGGCATGCACGCCCAGTGTGAGTTTCAAGCCACCAGGTCCAGGACTTCAATTATGGTCAGCCACGGGGAGTCCAGTGACATAACTATAACGCCACCTGGTGGTCCCCAAGTCTGTTCTTAAGCAGTATTCACCACCATGGGTGGCAGGTTATGACCTTTACTGATGACAGGATTGACCCATCAGTGGTTACTCTGATAGGAAGGATCTGAGCTGCACAGTGGTCCTAGGAGTTCATACCGCGGACCTCTGAATCCAGAGTGTACAAGGACAATTTATGCTCGTGAGCAGTTCGAGTGCCACGAAACTCAGAACTGAAACCAAGGTGGAAATTGCTTCATGTTAAAACTCAAATTTTTGGCAGTTAATTAGTTATTACTTTATGTTTCTTTCTCTTTTTTTGGAGAGATATTTTTTCTATAGGGTGTGTATACTCGCCAGAGAGACAGAGTGAGAAATCATTCCCCCAGGGGGATGACCATGCCACATTCCCTTCTTCTCCTTTGACCTCTCAGGATTTGGGGGTGCACACGCACCCGACGTGAGTTTTAAGCCGCTGGGTTTGGGACTCAAACCGTGGTGGTGGACTACATGGGAATTCAGCAACATAATCATTACGCCATCTGCTGGTCTCACTTGTTTCTAAGCATACACAACCAGGTAGCTTAAACTTTGCAGAATGGGTTTTTGTGTTAACAGACATGGAAACAGCATGAGTCTTCCTGAACATTTCCCTCAGGGCTCTTGGGTGACAGGTATGTTGTCAGTGAGCACTATTGTTTTGTTTTTGTTTTTTAAAGGAAAAGGGTAGCTTATTAAGTAGACATGAAAGTAAACACCTGAGAGTTAAGAGCAAGCCCAAGTGAACAGAGTGGCTCAAAAGGCCCTGGCGGTTATATTATGCTGTGTCTATACATTTTTTAATCTAGGTCGTGTTGGTTTGTCATTGGCTGGGCCCACTGATCTCATCTCATTGGTTCTATCAAATGTGACTTAATCAGCTAGATATCCCCTACTAGTCTCCTGCCTACATTAATTAAATAATAAATAATAAGGCTGCTTTGCTTTCTTATTCACGTGTGCACTGGGGTAGCGTCTTTTTCTTTAGTCACTACAGAGCACGTGCGTGCATGAGAGAGGACCCTTCACGGGGTCATGACAGTGCCATGATGCCCTTCCTATAACCCCCCCCAGCCCAGCGGAGCTGGGGCACTTGCACACATGGCTGGTGTGTTCTGCCTTGGGCAGGGAATTGTCTGCCCTGATCAGTTCTGTCACATGCGCAGACGCTCCAACCCCCATACCTGCTTCCATTTTCTAAATTTCTCCTGCCTCATTTCCCCCCAAGAGGTATGATCTCCACAGATCTTTTGGGGGGTTGAAAGTGGGTGGTCTGCCTAATGAAATTGCTTCATGCTGGAAAGGGTGCTGGCCCTACCTATTGGGAGGATCACGGAACTCTCATCTGGTCTAGGTGGGAGAACACGGCCGGGGTGTCATTGCGAGGGCTGCAGCTGGTGCTCCGTGACTCGCAGTAGGACTCAGCAGAGGTTCCCAGGGTTTGCTGTCCCTGCCGTGTGGTCATTCGCATGTTAAAGCCTCTAAGTGAGAAGAGATGAGCTTGGTGAGGAGATTTAAGAGACAGGGCACAAAAATGAGGGTGAGAGTTAGTGACAGGGGTCCCAAGAGGGGCAATGGCCAAGGGAACCCGCTCCAGAGTTTGGACCAGACTCCCCATGAACTGACGAATGCTGTGAGACTCATGAAGCAGTTGTGATTACAGAGACGCTGGCCCAAGCCACCTAGTGGTCATCCTTGGGTTGTATCATGAGTTCCTTTCACACGATGGGTGCCTGGAATTTTAAGGGAATTGTCACCATTAGAGGTCCCAAACTGAAGCTGTCAGTGGCTAAATTCCATTGGAAGAATCTGAAATTAGTTGCCCTTACTATTAGCATGTTTTTAGTCTACTTGAAAATCCAGTAATATATCTATGAACCAGAAAGGTTGACCTCCCCTATATTTAGGATGAAGAATGAAGTAATTGTGCTAGAGGCCAAGTAACACTAAGATTTCGAAAGAAATGTTTCTTTCTGACAAGTAGGTCTTAACAGTGGGCATAAAATATTATATTCAGTCATTTCTTCTGTACAGAGTTGTAAACGCACCTTATGTCATCCCATTGTAGAGCACAGCCCGAGTAGATTAGCGTGACTCAAGGACTCAAGGATTTGGGGAATGGTAGAGAAGCACTGGCTTCAACATCGTGCCACCAGCTGCACTAGCCTCTAACAAGAGTGTCAGCCTGGCCTTTGGAGCTTCGAGGACAGGCAGTGACTGTTCTCGAGCTAGAAAGCTAGATGGCTCTTCTTCCAATAAAGGGCTGATTGGTTAGTGTATCCACCTTCTATTCCTTTGATGTTCTACCTGGACCACTGAAACTTACTCCATATCAGCAATAAGGCTGTTTTGCTTTCTTATTTGTGTGTACTTTGGAGTATCATGTTTTTCTTTATTCGCTACAGAGCACATGTGCGTCCATGAGAAAGGACATGTCACAGGGTCTAGACTGTCCCATGATGCCCTCACTATGACCCTCCAGCCCACTGGGTTGGGGGCACTCGCATGTATGCCTGGAGTGTTTCAGGCTGAGTGAGCCAGGAATTCAAACTGTGCTCACTGTGTGGGATCAGCTTGTCTTGAGAAGCATGTTAGCTCTGGACGGCAAAGCAGGCCTGGAACAGTACTTTTCATCTCCTTTAAGAGCTTCCCCCTTTGCATTCACGTGTTGACTACTGTTTGGAGCAAAAGGGCAACATTTTGGCCTAGGCCAATCTTCAACTTGCCTTCCTCATTAAGCTTAATCACGCCTGCCCAGGGCCGCTGAGTCTCAGGCTTTCTCAGGGGACAGGCTGTGGGACAGCCCTGACATTGCCTCCCCTCTTCTTCCCTTCCCTTCCTCCCCCTCCGTGGGCACCTCTAAGACATCTCATGGCTTCACTGACTAGAGCTTCAATGTGTGTGTCTCCTCTTGCTCTGAAACCATGACACAGTTCACCTTCACACATGGGTGTCCCCACTGTCA